AGCGCACGGAGCGGTGACAGGACCGGCTCCAGAGCAGGCAGGGCGATAAGAGGACAGTTTATATGTACACGATCGTGTATGGATACATTTGCATACATTAACATATCAGCTGCGTATTGTAACCAGGCGATATTTCTCTCTCTCTTAGGGAATCCAGGATGCTCTCCCGGAGGTCGCCAACCTTGCAGCTTCCGCCACGGGAAACACAAAAGTTTATTCAACCATCAAATGAAACGAGGTGCTAAATGCTTTTTTTTTTTTTTTTTTACAGCATTTACGAATCACAAAAGATTTGTTTTTTCCTGTGGCCATATAGATCTCTCGATAAATTGTTGGAGGGAGTATAGATAGCAAGTGGATGATCGAACCATCTCTCCACGATGCAATCATGTAGGATTAGTTCTAACTCATTTACATTGCATAGATGACTAAACATTCAGGAAAACCTTCTTCCAATGAAAACTACTCGTTAACATCTTGTTCTTGCTCTCATTTTACAGAATAGTACATGTCTACAATAATTTTCAATACATTATTTCTTAACTTCATAACCAGATTATTTTCTCACAATAATTTAAATAAAACCAGACCATAAAAATGATAATATAACCTGTATGTTTTACTTGTATAGCTTTCCTATTTTGTATATATTATATTGGCCAAAATAAATAATAATATTTATTTTAACATTTGCCAACGTTTCGACCCGAAGTTCAGGCCTTCATCAGGGCTGAGAAAATAACCAGATAACAATTGGTACGAGAAACATAAACAATGTAGGTAAAAAAAAACCACTTAAAGTAAAATGAAATACATAAGTGAACATTAAAGTAAAATAAAGTAGGTAGAATAATGACAATAAGAAGAACTAAAATAAAGAATTAAAATAAAGTAAAAAATTCACTCTATTTTCCATATACTAAGATTTGTATATATTGATACATTTGCTAAATTTATTTTAACTCTTTATTACCTTATACCTGGTCAGTACATTTTGATAGACTTCACAATATCTCGGTTTTCTATTTAACTATTCTATTTACAATATCTCAACTTTTCTAATTCTATTTATTTCTTATAAACATCAGAAACACTTTTCTCTGTTTTACATTTCATTCTAAGATTACCATTTTAGCGCTTATGTTATTTTATTTTGATTATGTTTACGTCATTAGTCCACACTTTGTAACCGTTATTATTATTTATTTCTTATTTCTTCTTATTGTCATTATTCTAGCTACTTTATTTTACTTTAATGTTCACTTATGTACTTCATTTTACTTTTTTTTTTTTTACCTACATTGTTTAGGTTTCTCAAACCAATTGTTATCTGGTTCTTTCCTCAGCCCTGATGAAGGCCTGAACTTCGTTTCGAAACGTCGGCAAATGTTAAAATAAATATTATTATTTATTTTTGCCATTTTTATTTTTGACTGATCACCCCAACTATCCTTCTCTCTATTATTCACTACAATGAACTATCAACACACAATTGTGAAAAATAATTCCTAATCATTCTTCTTCCTAGTACAATTATATTTTTCTCAGTATTTGTCATGTTGGCTCATTAAGGATGGTTGTCTTAATATCGTTTTAGGTCCTACAGTCTATACGATAGAGGTCTTTACTCCGCCATATTGAAAAGACTTTTCGGTGTCATATACATGAATTTAAAGGGCATCGAGAAAAATACTATAGAAAAGTTTAATTTAAATCGGTACATCCGTTTAAGCACTACAATCTATAGCGACAAAGGATATTCGGACCCCATCTTGACAGACAAGGGCGGATGATAATGTCGAGTTCCGAGGATCATCCTCAGCCACCCTTTGACATTTATACCAAATCTCAAAACAATCGGTCCTGTAGTCTCGGAGAAAAGTAAGGTGAACTTTTTTTATTCGATTTTCTGTTTCTAGGAGTTATGAAACGTAAAAACTCAAATTTAGATGGGGATTAATTTGTTTTGTTTTTTTGGTTGATTACAAAGGTCGATTATTGAAAATAATAAATCAAAAGCATACTAGGACACCACAGTACAATAAAATTCAACCCTTAGATACTATTTCCATAGCAACGTTATTTCAAGAGAGAAAATGTAGAGAACGGGAGGGAAGACAGGGAAGCAGAGAGGATTGTGTGCCGAGGAGAGAACTGTTGGCGCTGTCATTAGTGGGCTGTTTGTCGAGCTTAATCCGGATCCCGTATTACAGTCCCAGTTAATGCAGTCTCTTACTTTAGGATACTTTCACTAAAACCCAGTAAAATATATAGGAAACGCATCATCTAAACTCAGTTTATAGCCTACGAGATACAGTTCATCAATGAAATATAATCCGTGTTAGATGCATTGAATGTCAATTGGGTACAACCATGAATTTTGAACCGAAAGTGAAGATTAATGTGGGTTTAGACATTTCAAAAACTCTAGTCTAATGATGGGAAACACAATCATCTGACTTAACTAACAGCGACATTAGCTCTAAGCTAGCGAAATTTTTTATTTCTCTTGTTACCTACCAATTGATGGAAAACATCAAAAACAAGAAACAAAAACAGTAACATAGGGAAAAACTATAAAACTATTTAATTATTTGTTTGTGAAATGTCAAAACGCAGGTTTAGCTTTAGGTCAAAACACAAAACGTCTCTAATTATTCTGATACATATTAGCAAAAATAACTAACACTAAAGAAAAGTGGTGGGGACAGAGCTATACCGTGCAGCGTTAGCCATACGCTGGATTGTAATGTAGTTGTATAGGTCAGGCTTCAAAGCTTCCATCTAGAAAATATCTGATCTTTCTTTTTTTTCTCATCATGTAGTCTTTGAACAGAAATATTTAGTTTAAAATGTATTTTACATCGTAAATACCTCTTTATAAAATAAAGACAAGAAATGTTTGATGGCATGGTGTTTGGCAGGCGTATTCGACAGAGATGGACAAAGGCCACACCCCCAGTTCTCACCATAGAAGCACTATCATTTCAAAATATTTAGCTAAATATGAATTTATTTTTATTCATTGAAACGTACAATCTCAATCTAATACACTGTTTTCTTCATAAATTGAAGTATATTGCATCTCAAATTTACCTGATTTTTTTTTAATGTAAGTACAGAGTTAAAATCTACAAAATGATGAAGATAAGATTTATATTTATATTTATTTATATTTTCATAGCTTTCGATAAAAAATATGATTAATTTATAATTATTATTACTCGTTCATAACAATCCACAGAGGGTCTTGCAATTTAGTTCCTCAGCGAATACCAACTATTCTAGACAATGGTAGAGCAAGTATGCGGTTTGACCAGGATTATGCACAACCGCGAGGCTCCCCTGCCAATAAAGGGTACCTGTGTTATAGAGGCTAAGCGGGTTCAAGGGAGATCTCTCGTCCAGGATCGACTAGCGGATAGAGAATGAACAATTATTAAATACTTCTTTCCCTCAACCAGATTCGAAACCGGTCTGAAGAGGTTAGAGTGTGATGCCTTAGTTAAAGTGTTAGTCCGCTCCCCATTATGTATTAAGACAAACCTCTTTTGATGTACAAATAAATAGTATCTATTATTTTTATAACCTATATATACCTATCGTAGGAGTATTCTAAATAAACGCAGCACTATGCATGGGGCACTGTTTTCTTTATTATCTTCCAGAGCCGGGTTCGAGACCGGTAGTGAAAGATATTTATTCCGTTACATTAACCACTGATCGGTCCTGAGGTATTAGGTAGGGTGTCCTTAATTCAAAGAAAAATGTGTTAGTTGTTCATGACGATAACGTTCATGACTAGGCCTAAACACCTGGTTGTACAACCGATTACCAGGAAACAGTACTTCCTTTCAAAATACTGAACACAAGAACTGTTCAAACCTAGATTAGAATAGAATAGAAAATAATTTTATTCTAGGACGAAGTCCCTTCAGAATAACAAAAAATTACAAAATTAAAATGTTGTATCTGGCCAAATAAAAACAAACATAAAAAGTAAGAGTAAAGCTAAATCAGTAAAGAAAATATTAGTTTTACATACTATATACAAAATAATATCTAAAAAGAAATCTATATACAAAACTCTTGAAACCTTGCCCAGACACTTAAAACTGTACAATTGTAAAATATAAATATATACTTTTAGAAAAATTAAAAAAAAGTCGAATCTGCTAATAAGTATTTCAGTTATGAGCTATATGTAAATACATTATTATGAATAATATGTAATTTTACATAAAAGGTTAGCGAGTATCTGACTGTTTTTGGGACAGGAATTGGAATAGGAGGGTTTTGAATGTAGACAATGATGAAGAATTCCGAATTTTGATAGGAAGGGAATTCCAAAATTTAACAGAACGAGCTAAGAAGGAGTTTTGGAACGAGGCAGATCTGTGAGAAGGAATGTAAAGGTCGGAAGGTCGAGATCTTGTGGAAAGGGAGTGGACTGAGGATTTGAATTGGAGAAGGTTGTAGGCGTAAGAAGGACGATGATTGTTGATGATATGATAGAGGAATTTACCTAGGAAATATTGTCTTCGAATGGAGGGGAAGAGCCACTCTTAACTCAGTATAGTGGTGAGAGACATGGTAGTATCTCGGGGCACCAATTACAAATCAACTATTTTTTACTTGAAAAAATAAAATAAAATCATTTTTTTGTTAGTAATATTAAATAATTTAATCAATTATGAGTTAACATTTGCGAAACGTTATGTGAATGTTTTAGTTTACGATCTTTAATATGATTTCTTTCTTCATAGTTTTTACCTTCGTTATTTATTTTTAATATTTTTTGGTGTTTCTTATGACAAATGGTCCTTCTTTAAAGATTAGTATTATTGACAATCAAAAGCCTTACCTCCGATATATCAGTAAAATACCTAATCCCTCGCTGCTGTTGCTAACAAAGACTCAAAGCGGGAATCCATTCATGAAGGTATTCAATGAAGTCAACATTAAAATGTGGTAGGAATGGCTCGCAGGTAATCCACGAAATGGTTAGGATGAGCGATGGTGCCGCTGTAAAATATGCTAACGAATTCTTTTGTCAACGCTCTGGCACGTTTGTTCGCCCCGTCGTTGGTCGAATAAAGAGATCCCTTCGACAATGGTTCAATTTTATGACGGTCACAACGGGTCGACGATCTGGAAATGAAACCGGGCTAACTAAAATCGTTCACCAGTTCCTCTTACCATTATAATCTACCTCCGCCCTCTATCTCCACCCTCTTCTCCTCCCACCGGCATTTCAATTTCAACTATAAAGGAACATTCAAATTCTTAAAAACAAAAAATGCACCACCAACAACCCATGAAGGGTCAAGGAGCAGATTGGGCCGAGATAACGCTCATCCACCAGATTTTCCCCTTAATTAATTATTTAATTAAGAATACCCAATTTATAGAGGCTGGGTGTGCCCTAAGAGGATCTCCTGGCCCCAGGGTTTATCCAACGCTGATGAAAATTACTAGTCATCAGCCGGATTCGAACCTGGAACCTTGAACTCTGGAAGTAACTGTTCACCCACAGAGTTATTCCGCTCCCTACCAATTTGAGGCTGCAGTTATTCAATTAATGTCTGTGTACTTATTTTAACAGCTGATTTATTTATGTTCTTTCTGCTTCTCATTTCTCGTCATCCCTCCCCTCCTGGTTAAGAGAGCCGGAGTCTAGAGGTCACGGTGTTGAGTGGACCATGAAGGTTTGATAAAAGGTTCACTCATCTTTCCAAGGATAGATGACTAGCTTTTAATATAAACAAGCAGAACAGTTTGAAAACTAATACTGTCCAACCTTGCCTCATTGCTATCTGCTAAGAGCAGAAACTTTTTCTCTCTCAAAGGAATATTAAACTAATATTTAGTATTTGTTTATAACTATAATTTCATTGTCATTAACTAATAATAATTGTATTAAATTATGTTAGAAAATATATATTGGAAAATACTACTGAATATAAACTTAAAGAATAAATTTAAAAGCTGAAATTTAACAATCTATTAATATCAAATACATTCCAAGTAACGATTTATTCGGTACTTAATAAAAAGTAGAGGCGATGTCCAAGACTTTGAAATTTTATTGAAAAGAAATCAGTGTGTACGTAAATCATGGGAAAGTCGCAACAGCTTTTAGTGAATAGTCATGCATCTGTTTAACAATGAATGTACGTCCTATCAGTATATTTTATTTTATTTATTTTTAATTTTTATTTTAAATTAAAACTTCTTTAGGTGCGTTTTGTACTTTTTTTTGTGGAGGGTGAATTAGATTGAACCGCCAGACCTCCCGTTTGTAACGATCGGGTAAAATCGGCTAGAGTCGAATAATTATAAAAATATAATTCAAAGGAAGGAGATGGCCCGGATCATATCCTTCCTTTATAATGCGACGGTCAACTATTAAATATTCAATAAAAATATTTCGGAAACTAAAATTCGGAGCTGCATACTGTAAGTAAGGAAACTGTACAGCATTTCATCCTCTATGTTATGGGCTATTATTCAACATTGTAGCTTATCGTGGCGGCGTGTTACATGGGAAAAAAATAGTGCCGAAAGCTAAATTATTATCAGTTTAATTGAAGATATGGATTAAAACATCTCAGAAACTAAAATTCGGAGCTGCATACTGTAAGCAAGGAAATAGATCAGTATTTCATCCTCTCTGTAACGGGTTATTATTTGTAATTTATATTTAATATTCCGTTCCTACCTTACTGATAGATACTTTAAAGTAAATCACAAAAACGCCTATTCATCCCTTTTTTCCCAGTCCGCTGGTGTTCCTCAAGGTAGTATCCTAGGCCCTATCCTCTATACAGTTTATACAGCTGACATCCCTACCTATCCCAACACTATCATCACCAAATATGCCGATGACACATGTATCCTATCAGTAAAAAATGACCCAGCAATTGCATCCCAAATGCTTCAATCACACATCATAAATCTAGAAGAATGGTGTCAAAACTGGAGAATTAAAATAAATTCCAATAAATCCCACCAAATTACCTTTACCCTTCGTCGTAAACCAACAACTTCCTGTCCTACAGTTTCCTTTAACAATACTCCACTTATCCCTGTTGAGCGAATCCGATACCTAGGACTCCACCTGGACAAACGACTAACTTGGAATCCTCATACTAGACTGAAACGACAAGAAACCGCTCGACGTTTCCGATTACTTCAGCACTTACTAGACAAACGCTCTAATCTTCCAATTAATTACAAAAGACTCATATACTTGACTATAATAAGGCCTATTTGGACTTGCGGAGTTGAGCTATGGGGCTCCACTAAAACATCGAATTCAATCCTTACAATCCAAAATCCTTCGTAAAATCCTCAATGCTCCCGACTTTGTTACAAATAAAACTATCCATAATGACCTTAATGTTCCTTTTGTTTCAGATCTGGCCCAATCCAGATACCTATCCTTCCATAATAAACTTCAGAATCATCCCAACCCTCTCGTTTCTAACCTTGCTTCCTCTTCAATTCCTGATAACCCTCCGAGGCGTCTGAAAAGAAGATGGCCCCGTGATCTCCTAATGTAAACATATCATTAGAGTGCTACCATTGGGTAGTTACTCAGCAAGTGTTTTTCATGTCATTATATACATTATGTTCTAATTTACTAGATGTATTTATTTAATACAGTTGTAAATGTCTTTAAGAAATAAAAAAAAAATATATTTAATATTATTTTAATCTCGCCTTATTGATGTCTTCACCTTCTACCCTGTGGTCTAAAGCACACACCTTAGTTTTTTTTTCCCGTTCAATTAAATTACAAAGTTTTGGACATCGGTTTTTTTTCTTTCAAGGTACAGATATATAATAATAATGATCCACGCTTCATCTGATTGATTTCAAATTCTACTTGAATTAAACGTTGAATTAAGGCTAGTCCATAATGACATATTTTTAAATAAATAATAGATCTAAAAATTTAATACGTCATTGATAGAAACATAGAAAGAAAAGAAAATGGATATTATCGATGAAAGTAGTCATAATGCCATGACACAAAGAGAGATAAATGATATATGCACTTCATAACAGGCATCAATAGAATTTTTCAAGTGTAATACTTGAGAAATTATGAAGAATGCACTTCAAATGCCACTTAAGCCACTTCTTCCACTTGAAAAAGAAAAACTGAATGAATTAAGTAGTTTCCAGTGTTTCAATACCTTGCGGATTATTTTTTCTTTTCTTTTATAAACTCATAAGTCAGATATAATGTAATCCAAACCATATATAAATAAATCCTTTTTTAAAAAAATTAATTTTTTAGAGAATAATGAAGCCTTTACATTTGCTGATTAATGAATGATTATGAATTATATTTTCACTCTAAGCAAATTTAAACCTTTTTTCCTAATATTTAGTTAAAATTTTATTAAAAATCTGGATAAATCAATACTGGCACTTAGAAAGATATAATTAATTTCAAGTATCGAGCCATCGAGTAAAAATTGACGTATTTTATACTTTATTACTTTATACTTATTACTTATTTTTTTTTAGAATAAGGAAAATTTAAATAAACAAAACGTAACTATTTATTTGTATCAGTCTAATATATTTTAATGGTAATATTTCGACTTGGGTAAGCCATTTCTCACTACAATGACCTAAGCGTTCGTTGTTTTTAAATATTGCAGGTTTGAAATGAAATGACTTTTACTAGAAGCTCACCTACGTTTTTTTCTAAGAAGTTTCAATACATGTAATTAAATGGAGAGGAAAACAGAACAAGAATGCAAATGAATGCATGATCAGCATAAAAATATCCTAAGCAGTTCAATCTGCTTTGGTACATATTTGTTTTTGTATTCTCAGGTAAATACATAAACAAGTACTTATATAATTAAAAAATTATATAAGTACACTTACTAATTTATATTATATACAGCTACTAAATACAAACACGCGTCAGGAAAAAAATGTCAAAAAGCATCTTCAAAAGCATTATTATTCTTATAATTATTGATTTTAAATTTAATTTTGTAAAAACCTTACAGAACCACCAACATGATTTCATATAGTTTCTTTCTTTTACGTCCATAGTAGTTACGGCAATTATAAAAAAAAAAAACTATTTAATTCAGAGGAATCTAAAAAGTCAGAATAACCTTAAAAAATCTCGAAAAATAATTTTTAATAACATATTTAAACCTTAGCTAGTTGAAAACGTCTATTGAATCGGATAGATTAATTTAAGCGGCCATATGTGAAACACTGATATCGATTTATTTTATTTTACATTTCTCTGCCTTGGTTTTACAAAATCATAACATTTTTAGCTAAAATGAGATTATTGGTGCTTTTGAGTATCCGTTAAGATGAAAATGATTTTTTTGTTTTTTAACTTTTAAATTTTCTAGTATCTTTGTTAATTTTAGTATTACTTATTTCGTCTGTGATAATATTTTAACTAAATTTCGACAAATATTCAATAAGTTCAGAACTAGATTATTTTTTTTTATGTAACCATCCTCAATAATTAAATTACAACCATCTGAAGAAATCAGGAACAATTCGATTCAATAACGAAAACTTGTTTTTTTTTTACTCTACCTCAAATTTATGTTTAAAAATAAGAAAAGATAGAATCTTTTCAAAAGAAGACTGGAAAACCAATATTCTTCAGTTAGATTTCGTAATAAAATATATGTGTGGTAAAGTTTTCTAGAAAATCCAGATAGGTGATTAAGGTTAATGAATTTACAAAAGTAAAAATATTTTCAGGTAAAATAATACAAAATTTTTAATTAGTTTACTTTCTTGAAGTTTCTTCATTATGTTTTATCCCTCCCCCTCCCTTTCTCTCATAAGAAAATTAAAAACAGCAGTGTTCATAATTGTTTATTTTTATCATTTGTACATTTCAAAGATGCTTCATCTCCTCTTTAGCATATAATATTGCCAAGTATTTAGAGGCAAGTGTACTAAGTTTGGGCAATGGCGTAATTAATTGATTTTATTTAAGTAATTGACTAAACTTAATTATCAAAAAATATTATAAGCGTATATTTCAGGACGATGTACAAAGAAGGAAATCTGTTAATGTGGTGAGCCAGGATGCTGGGCCATTGAATTGAATCATTTTTATTTTTTCTTCCCAACATTTTATTACATAACAATAGTAATTAACAAAAAAAAAAAAACCTGAAAAAGTTATTTTAATAGAGATAAATATCATCGACTTAATTGTCAGAATTATACACAAACAAATAAACATAATAACAAAATAATAAAAAAGGACGTATCAATTACTCACCAAAGATAAGAGTGAAACATTATATCAAGGATAAAATGATTTTATTTATGATTCTATAACAGTTGATAAGTTAATTATATCCAACTGGCTGGCCTTCGTTATTTGATCGAAATTGAGAATATGTCAACTGTCAACTATGACATATTCAAGGTATCGGTCATAAGCAACTTTATTTCATTATTCCACAAATAATTCCATCTTTACACGATTAAAACTAAACCGACATTTTTCTTTGCAGCCTTAGAAAATCTATTTTTTTTCTAACTAATGATATGTACATTATTGCTATGATAACTATATTTGGAAATGAGAGAACGAATTTCGATTCATAGAGTAGGCTGACATTTATTAACTCAGATTTCAGTCCAGGAGAATATTTTGGTTGTTTAAAAAATTTGAGAAAAATAAATAAATAATGTAAAAAAAAAATAATTACATCATTCGGTAACATTAAGATATGAAGATGTGAAACTTCAAACAAAAAAAAAAAAAAATTCTGGAAATATGATTTTATCAAATCAAAATATTTTATGTCAGTAAATACACTATTCGTTTGAAATAACAAATAATAAAGCAACGAATACATCAAAAACACCTAAAATCGATTTTGATATGATAAAACTCTTTGCGTTATCAAAGATAACAAATTAACCAATATCTTAATCGCTAAAATTAGGTACTGTAAAAAAACGATAATTCAAACGAGTGATTAGAAGAGATCTTTAGGTAGCGAACGAACATTTTCTTTTTTTATAATTTCTATTTGGAGACATATTTTTCCGAAAATAATATACCATTTTTTCTTTATAAAAACTCAACGGTGGGGTTAAGGGTCAATTTTAAAACTTTTTTTTAGGGAGGAGGGATAGATCGTTAGAGTAAATTTCGTCACGTCAAAACGGTTATTCGCATTTTTCCTTCTTTTTTTTTTTTAAGTTTTGATATCTCTGCAGCCTCTCCAATTTGAGTGAGATGGTTCAAAATGTGTTTGTGAATAGAGCTAATGATAGTGAATAAACAAAACCAGAACATGGGAAAAAACCTAGAACTGATTTTAAAATAGCATTAATAATGTTTTAGAGTAAGTATTCGAAAATTAATTAATCACTTTTTATATGCTTTCGAAACAAAAGTAAAGAAAATGGAGCTCAGCTGATTATGCTTTATTATTTGCTTATTTTTTCTAATGATTTAAATATATATTTACCAATTCGTTTATCGTAGATAGTTGAGAAGTAAATAGCGCTACCTAAACAAACAAAAAAAAAAACATACATTAGCAAATTAATTGTATTTCAATTCTATTAAGATTTAGTATTGCTAAATTAAAAATATTATTTATAGATGTGAAATAAATTTCCGCTAATTTCCGCAAAAAACATACTCTGAGAAAATTATTTTCGCAACAGATGGTTCAAAATTATTTAGGAATATAAATTTACAGTGCTCTAAAGAAATTCTCTCAAGCAGTACACTGGAGGTACGGGTTGGTGTAGCAGCTTGAGAAAAGGGTACATGTGTCGCCACAGCTGTTTGCGCGGATTTAAGACACGACTTATGAAAAAGCCAAAAATACAAATTTACAGTAGCAACGCATACTTATTTGTAATATGTTTGTCGTATGTATTTAAATCACGGAGGAAACATGTCATTCTCTTCAGTTGGCACTGGATCTGTCTGGAATAATTCAAGACCCTATTTCAACCGGTTGAATACTTATCTTGTCTTATGATGACACACAAAGAAATGCCGGCAAACGCTGGACCATGTATGTTTTTTTAGAAATAATTTTAATTTTTTATCTTTCTTTGTTTACTATTAAGTAAATAAATGTTTTAATGGACAAGCTCAATATAACTTTCCTTTTAATGAAGAGTGATTTTAGGACAAAAAAATGTTTTTGATTTTATTTTTAAACGCATAAATCGCCTCTTGTATAAATTCTAGACAACAAGGATTGATATCATTCAACAGAAGAAATGTGCTCTGAGAGATTGCAAAACGAATAAAATAATTTAGACGTTGGATGGAAGTACCATTAGTGATTCAAATTGTATTAGTTGAAAGTTGCATTACAAGAAATTCTATCAACGGCGTACGGAGCTTTCAAATTGTGGAGAGGAGCAAAACGGAACGTTTGTGCAAGGAGATGATTAGACCACGATCACGCTCAACCGAAAGATTATTCTCAATAATTAATTATTTAAATTAAGATACCCACTTTATAGAAACTGGGTATGTTCCAGAAGATTCTACTACCTAACCCACGGTGGTTGGAAAAAAATCTCCATCAGTCGGATTCGAATCTTGGACCTAGAGCTTAGCACCTATCTCACTGAGCTACTCCACTTCCTAACAATCAAGAAAATGTAAATCAATATACTTATTTAAAAGCAAAGCATCTTTTATAACTAAAGCCTTAAATGTCCATTTCTACATTAAGGCCTTTTTTACATCAGTGCATATCTAAAGTAAATACCAATCAAATTATCATCTATTTTATTTAAGTTTTCAGTCAAAATAAACTAAAATAAAAAAAAATAATTAGAAAACTGGGAGCAAGGATTAATTAGCTGTTAAAATAGAGTTTAATTATAGCAGTTTTAATTGGGTGCAATCAAGACCGAGCAAGATATCAACGAGAAATCTGTAGGAGCACAACTAAAGAAAGAAAAAAACCTCTTAGTTGAAATATAATACTACTAATATATGTAATAAAAAATTGTCCGATATTATCTAAATTTAGAATTAAATGGTTAAAATCTAGAAATTTATCTCGGGATTAAGTAATAGATTAAATAAATGGAAACAATTGGATAGCATTGGTAAACTACAGCAAGTTTGCTTTCTCCTATAGAATAATTGTTACCAGAGAATTTAACAATTAATAAATTGGAGAATTTTGGTACCACTCTTTTTGCAATTAAAATATTTATATAACTTTTACATTGTAAATATAATTGTTCTTATTTTCTCATTATTTAGTTGTATATAAATAGATTGAAATGTAATTTATTTATAAAACACTCCTCTGAAGGTCAACAGACCACGCACCACGTCGGTTTTAAATCCAAAAATATTATTTTGTAATTGATATTATGTAATTTTGATAAATAAGAGTTTTTCTTTTTCTTCTAAGTAATAATTATTTTTGGAGGAAGTTAGTGGACTGTTCTACATATCATGGGTGATAAATATTCAGGACGCAGTCATTATTAAGTTTTTATTAGTGTCGACGTTTCAACCCAAACATGTCGGTAATCATTAGGGCTTGTTTTTCGAGCAATGAAGGTATTCAAGTAGTCATACCTTCATTTCCTTGAATATTTATCACCCACAATAATTATTAAAATCAATATTTATGTATTTTTTAAAAATAAGTTTTTTTTAAACATATAGTGTGAATATGACCTTACCTCCCATTACCTAAACATTACATACATAAATTACATAAAAAATTGACCAAGTGACAGAGTGATATGGTATTCAATAAATAAAAAAATAAAGTATTTTTTAAAATTTGTTTTTGTTTTAATTTTAAAGACTATTTGATCCTTTATTTATCACAAAACCTTTGAGTGGTTAAAAATAAATATTAAATAAATCCAAGTTGTTGAATTTTCAACTAAATCGAATTTGGTTTTCATAATTCTCAAACATAAAATTTAATTTAAATTTAACCATCGGATGTTCATGTATAAATTAGAAAGAATTTAAATTTAAATTATAACTGTACTTGAAGAGGAACAATCCTCCTCAGTTGCTGATGGATTATAAACGACTGGTAATTTCTTCCTGATTATCTTTGTCATTTTAAAACCATCAGTACTTCCTTGGTACCTAATGAATTCCTTTGGTTATATTCATACAAGCTTGAGGGGTGACGATTTGCTTCTTTAAAAAAAGAAATAAATTAAACCAATGAGATAAAATTAGAATGGGGGTATAACTATTCTCATAGACCACTAGAGTCAAGGGTTAACGCACCAGACCGCATAACGACCACAATACTTCTTCCTTTTTTGCGTTTAAAAAGGTCACGTTCACTTCTTCCTATAATACTAAATGAGAATGGTGCTACAGATAAGCTTGGTTAATATAAGGTGAAATACGTTATATATTATAGTTTGTTTATTTAGGAATTCCATGTTAATATAAACATATTAATAACTAAAAAAAGTGTGACATAAAACATATAGACCGTGGTACCCCTTTTTATCGAATTATTAACATCCGCCTGAAACTTTGTAAATTGCTTCATCTCATCGTAAACTACAACTATTTTTCTACGAAAACTCTTGGAAATGGGACGTTTTCAATCTGGAGAGAAGCACACTTTGTCTATTTAATTAGGTACTAAAAACTCGTAAATACCCATTTGCTTTCTACTAGAATGGTAAGATAATTTTATCACAAAATTAATAAAAAAAAGTGACCTTCAAAAATATTGAACCGTTCGGCGTGACCTACACCCTCAAATTTTCAAAATGACGAGGTTACATAGGACTAACGGCGAAATATTTTTGTAGGGCTCCATTTTTATCGATTTTGTGATAAAATTATGTTACGATTAAAGTAGAATGGAAATGAATATTTACGAGTTTTTAATTAGATAGACAAAGTTTGCCCTCCTCCAGATTGAAAACGCCCCAATTCTAAGAGTTTTGGTAAATAAAATAGTTGTGGGTTACGATGAGATAAAACTATTTACGAGGTTTCAGACGGATGTTAATAATTCGATAAAAAGGGGTACCACGGTCTATATGTTTTATGTCACATTTTTTTTTTTTTATGTCACATTCAGTGAGATGACTTTATGGTAACAAAGTTATTATACGAAAACGGTATTACTTTAAACTATTTAAAGAAAACTTATAGAACTTCATAATAACAACTAGCTATGCCCCACAGTTTGAAACACGTTAAATTTGGTTTTCAAGTTTCACCAAGTTAAAATTCATAAACCTCAGCTCCACAATGACCTCAATAAATGACCAACAGTCACAAATAAACCAGCGAATTACAGAATAGTTTTTTTTTCTCTCTCTCTTTTAAAGTATTGAAATCTCGAAAAATGTCTAGACTTCTCAAATTGCTATGATAAAATCAGTTCTGTGGGAACTGAGCACTATCCAACAATCTAGGAAGAAGTGTAGAAAGGTTCAAGAGGAAAATCCTCCGCTAAATAACCGGAGCGATATGTCATAACAGTTATAAGAAATAGAGAAGGACTAATAAAGAACTGCTAAAATAAACAGGTCTATCAATATCAACACAACAATGAATGCCTCAATAGTAGAGAGGAGTGGGAAGCCAGAAACCAGTAGAATAGAATCAACAAAGGTTCTATAGAGCTGAATACAGATAACTGGCCACAAAGCAGTAGCCCAAGAAAGGCCGAGTGCAGTGAGGTGCAGAAGGCTGGTTAAGTCAAGAAAATAATCTACTTGTAAATATAATTATTCCATCTCTTCATAAGAAAAATATTAGTAATAATTAAAAAAAAAAAAATGTATTGAATGGCGTCGATAGGAAATTCATATCCCTAGCAAAAAACAATATCATCATATGATGATGATTGATATGAAATACATATATAATTTCAATAGTTAGCAGGTATCTTAGGCTTGAAACTATACCCTCTATTCCTCTAGAAATATATATTGAATCTCTATCCTATATATACAAAGATGGGGTCACAGGAATAGAATAAATGTTTAAAAAAACATATATATAAAATACATACTTTTTATGAGCAATAATATCGATATTATACTTCCACGAAGCTTCTGAAGAAATTCAACTTAGATAGCCAGCAAAATCTAATGAAATAATATCGTATGGGGGATATAGACCTTTATACGTGAACCCTATATTCCATACAATATGCATATTGTTGTTAAGAACAAAATCCAAAAATGGCTGACACGAGCATTATAAAGGTATGTGGAAATAAGGCGGTGTCCTGAGTGAAAATAACCAAATTTAATGTATATATATTCTTTTTATATATTTTTTTAAATAAATATGGCACAGAGCACCGAAAACTCCAAAAAATAAATATACGACACTATAAAAAAAAGTTTTTTTTTTTTTTTTTTTTTTTTTTTTTTTTTTTTTTTTTTTTTTTTTTTTTTTTTTTTTTTTTTTTTTTTTTTTTTGGAGTATGGTAAGTTTTATTTTTATTATTATTATTTTTATTTCTTCCTCCCAATATAACAAGTATACTCTGGTTTTCTCCTCAATGTG